AGCATATAATATGTAGCCGAGGTAACTATCTGATATGGTTAGGGTTAGGGTTAGGGTGTTAGGGTTAGGGTTAGGGTGTTAGGGTTAGGGTTAGGATTAGGGTTAGGGTTAGGGTTATGGTTAGGGAGTAGGCGTAGGCGATATACTCGCCGACACCTCGAGTACTACATATACGAAAACGACCCCTTCAGCTATATTTAGTGGGTCGCGCATGATTACTCACTTCAGTATACACGTGAGAACGTCCGAGAGGCTCCACGGGGGTTTTCGGAACACGATGCTCAGCCACAGGTCGTCGTAGGCAAGCTTCATCTCACTTTCCAACGCCCCTGCCAGGCCCCTCCGCAGCTCTCTCCACAACTCACGCATGACCTCGGCCACCTGTAGAGGAAAAAGATTTGATCGCGCGACCTTGAGGTGCCCCCCCCCCCGGGAACGAGCTCGCAATAAAAACAAGAGCAATCGGAGATAGCAAACCTCCGCCACAGCTTAACAGTCCCCCCATAATATCTATTATAGCTATCGATCTAATTATATATAATTTGTAGTCGGGTTTAACGCGGCGGTGACACATCATAAACGCCTACAGACAGAGAGAGCGAAAGTGAAACCAAGCAGAGCGGTTAGAGAGTAAACCGCTACACTACGATCAATGATGATTCAATTTCATCAAAATCTGTCCGTAACTTTTGAGATATCCTGTTGACAGACAAACAAACCAACAAACCAACAAACACACAAACGAACGGGGGCGATAACATAACCTCCTTGGCGGAGGTAACAACACTAGCACTCCAAGAGAAAGTCCACCAATCAAATGCTAGTTCTAGCAATTTTAATACCATGAGCTTTCTCCCTACCGTTGATTACCACACACTTAATTAGTAATATAGTATATAAAGTCAATAATATAGATGACTACTTAGATCATGTGCTGTCCTAAGCTACCATACCAAGTATGAATGCAAGATGCAATTTTTGGTCACATACGTCAGGTTAAGCATTATGTTACATATGTATATATAATATATAATATACAATTGTTCGCGGTCATATGCAGTACATACCAATATTGACAGAGCTGCTGCATTATCCTGGTCTGTTGTCTGGGGTTGGTCTTTCATGTCACTGCTATTTGTCAATGCCTGTTGCACTTGCCCTGACTGCAATGATACTTCCTGTAAAGAAATTCCAGTAATCCTAATCAACATGAGCAATATAATGAGATTATATATAATATTTAGATTTAGATTTATATAAAGGCATTAACATGAATATATGAAATCATTAAACTGCATTAAATTAATACCCGAGCGGCACTAATTACGATCGAATGTTAATCATTCCGCTTCTGTGGCTAACACATAGCCAGGTAACTGTGTTTATAGCGCTGGTTTACACATCCTTACAGCAATCGTCCGACATTTCTTGCCATTTAATCATCGAACCCCTACTTCAGCACCGCCACCAAGAAGAAAGCACCATCAATGTCATTCTTCAATGCATTATGAATCGCTAAGCACGCATATATACTCGTGAAGATTGTAATCGTATAATCGTGACAATGAACTCTGCCGTTAGGGTTCGTTACACGTACACACCTGCTGTACTGCTAGTGGTGGAAAACCTGCAGCAGAAGCAGACGGAGAAGCTGATGCATCCACTGCCCGAGGCGGGTTGTCACCATCAGCAACTGCATTCAATGGAGTGAGCTCTCTCAGCCCTTGCGACAGCGTCTACAATAGTGAAATACACACACGACGACGAGAATAAAACTAACTGTGCACGAATAAACGTACTAACAGTACGTGAATAAACACAATCATTAATGTAACCATACAGAGGCATGCTAGTGTGATATTGCGGTGATGATATTGCAACGTGTGAACGAACAAGATTGACATGTGATAGTGCTTACCTGTTTGTTGTAAGCCTTCACACCACTGATCATGGATTTCGCACACAGGTTCTTGTCATTTGTGAACAACACAACATGGCATTCTGTGAACAACAGAATTATGGTATCTAAGAACAACACATACGTGGACATATTTACATTGTACAGTTGAAATGGATTCATGTTCAGATTAACTGCTGCAAACAATCTATATTGGTCCGAGTACCACAATGTCAAACAAAACCAAAATATTTACATAATTTATTTATATTGAAAATGTTTAAGCATTGTTTTATGCATCAACTGGACACTTTCTGTCATTAGATATTGACGACATATTGCAGTTGATAGCTATGGTCAATGTATAATTGAATACCAAGCAAGCATGATACAGAGCGATACAACAAACCTGTCTTGTAGCTAAAGAACTGGTTCAGATCTTCAAACACTGTTTTCAACTCCCTCTGAATCACCATGCTGAAGACAGCAATCCAGTGTCTGCAACAGAAAACAAAGCTATGCATATGCTAGTGTTGTCAATCGGTGGTAAATTCGTAATCGACCATCGGTTGGACCAAATTGTTACCGATGATCGGTTACAATCGGTTACTCGGGGTGTTGAATGCCTGCGTGTGCGTAACGTCGTGTGCATGTACGTGTGTGCATGTATGTGCTTGTTTAGCCCCGTTTACTGTTTGTTTTGCACTGTTTACTACTGTGTGTAGAATACATGTATGTTAATAAAGGATAACTTGTATAGTAGTGTTCTGGTGTTGTTCGTTGCAATATGTGTCAAACAATTTACTCTCAGACATTTCTTGTTCCAGTTTGACATTTATTTCGATGAAATCGATTATGGATTTTGATAACCAAGCGCTTGGTTCGAGCCACTGTTCAACTGATGATCGAGTATAATCGATGATCGTGATATCACTAGCATATGCTACATGCAAAAACAAGATTACGCGTCAAATCCCCACCAACTCATCAAGTGCAAGCCACTTACTTTGCCGACAAATCTTGACGTGCAATCTGCACTTCTATTATAATTATAATTATAAGTATATATTTAATTAATAATTAACTTTTATTAAATATTTTATTATTTATATATTAAACTTTGACGTGCAGTCTATCCTTAAGATGCTCTATTTAGGCACGAAGGGTCGTTGTCGTATAATAGCATATAATATGTAGCGAGGTAACTATCTGATATGGTTAGGGTTAGGGTTAGGGTGTTAGGGTTAGGGTTAGGGTTAGGGTGTTAGGGGTTAGGGTTAGGATTAGGGTTAGGGTTAGGGTTATGGTTAGGAGTAGGCGTAGGCGATATACTCGCCGACACCTCGAGTTACTACATATCGAAAACGACCCTTCAGCTTATATTAGTGGTCGCGCATGATTACTCACTTCAGTATACACGTGAGAACGTCCGAGAGGCTCCACGGGGGTTTTCGGAACACGATGCTCAGCCACAGGTCGTCGTAGGCAAGCTTCATCTCACTTTCCAACGCCCCTGCCAGGCCCCTCCGCCAGCTCTCTCCACAACTCACGCATGACCTCGGCCACCTGTAGAGGAAAAAGATTTGATCGCGCGACTTGAGGTGCCCCCCCCCGCGGAACGAGCTCGCAATAAAAACAGAGCAATCGGAGATAGCAAACCTCCGCCACAGCTTAACAGTCCCCTATATATCTATATATAGCTATCGATCTAATTATATATAATTTGTAGTCGGGTTTAGCGTGGCGGTGACACATCATAACCCCTACAGACAGAGAAGAGCGAACCAAGCGGAGCGTTAGAGAGTAAACCGCTACACTACGG